AGTCTTCGCAGGGTCTCCAGTCACCTGACTTTTTGGGGACGAGGTGGAGAGGAGACGCCCAGCTGCTCGACGACGGTTGTATTATTCCGAGTTCCAACGTGTGTTGCAACTCAGCCCTGGCTAATTTAAGCTTATCTGGAGCAAGTAGCCGTGGGCGAGCGAAAACAGGTAGACCAGTGGTGATGATATGGTGGCAAACATCATGTTGCACGGGTTTTGTCCTGTCAGGCGGTTCCATGATGTCTGGAAATTCTCGAAGAAGTCCTACGAAACGATCATCGGCCACTGTTGTAGTTGGGACGATTATGTTCGAGTCATGCCAAACAACGCCATGGACAGAGAGCAGTGCAGTAGTGTCTAGCAGGCGTTGCCGTTTCACGTCAACCAGCAGTCCATGGTGGTTTAAAAAGCCGGCACCAATGAGGGCACAGGAGTACGTCAGCGACGAGAAAAACCCAATGAAACACGCGGCGCAAACCTAGGTTCAGTGTGAGCGACCACAATTTGTATACGGGGACCTTTCTACCGTTGACAGCTTTCAGGTAGGAGATCAGGGGTATTGTTCGGTCGGATTTTCGAGCCGTCATAATGCTGACTTCTGCACCAGTGTCCACCAGGTACCGCTGACCTGTGATTTTGTCCATGACGTGAAACAGTTGACTTTTGGGTTGGCCTTGACCAGTCGTCGCCGTCAATGGTCGGCCTGCCTGTTTCCCTGCCATGAGCAAGGTTGGAGGCAGTGACACGCACCCTGTCTAAAACGGCGATGGTAATAGCATATGCCTGGTGGTGTGGGGAATCGAGAGCGTTGTGCGCGTCCATAACGCGGGGAGCTTCGGCTGCGGTTTCGGTGACGTGGAGTGGTGTAATGACGCTCCGCGACACAAACCAGTTGTTCTAGGCGATCGTAAAGCGCATCGATGGGAGAAGTAGGGTCATTGATTGATTTGTGGGGTTTAACGTCCCAAAACCACCATTTGATTATGAGAGACGCCGTAGTGGAGGGCTCCGGAAATTTTGACCACCTGGGGTTCTTTAACGTGCACCCAAATCTGAGTACACGGGCCTACAACATTTCCGCCTCCATCGGAAATGCAGCCGCCGCAGCCGGGAATCGAACCCGCGACCTGCGGGTCAGCAGCCGAGTACCTTAGCCACTAGACCACCGCGGCGGGGCGAGAAGTAGGGTCAGAGGATGTGTGTGGAGCAGCACTCACGTTGTTGAATGACGGCGTGACGTTGCACACAGACGGCGTGCCCACCTCCAAGACCGTGTCCGCCAGGCTGGCCAAACCGTGGAGGTCTAACGTGCATGCAGTGGCTAGTGCCATTTGCGCATTGGCAGGAAGGCGCTGCAGAAGCAGTTCCCGCAACAAGTTCTCGTCAGTAGTAGTGGTGTAGCCACTTATGAGTTTACACATACGACAAAGAAGCTGGCTGGTCCGGTGGTCACCTAATTCGTCCCCGGAGAGCAACTGCTGAATGCGGGAACGCTGTGATGCCGTCGTTCGCTCCAGCAGAGCAGCCTTGCGAGTGCTGTACGATGTGGTCGCAGGAAATCCGGAAAGAAGGTCAGATACTTCTTCGGCAGCAGTTGCTGACAGCGCCGAAACAACGAGATTATGCTTGCGTTGCTCCATGCGCACGCCAGAAGGCACGAATTGTGATTCAGCTTGAATGAGCCAGATCGAAGGGTTGCGGTTCGAGTAAGCTGGCAGTCGGAAAGAGATCGCAGAAACGTCATGATTGGTCATTCCAGTAGCTTCCATGTTTAGGTGCGTCTCGTTGCTCTGAATGACTCTACAATACTACGGCAGTGCCGCGAAGAACTACGGGGCACCACTTAGTAGAGCCAGGTTGTACGAGATGGACACGTCTTTTCGGTAACAACGTGTACTTTATTCTGACAACCAGAGAGTCGTAAACAGATAAGGTGCACGCAGTGCAGCAGAAGGGGCATGAGTAAAAGAGACGAAGGAGAAACAGAAAGGACAGCAGCACTGCTGCTTGAAATGCTGATCCGCAGGTTTTTATAACTGCGGGGCACGCGGTGGCACCCGCGTCGCTACAGGCCACTGTAGGTCCAACAACAAAGCATACCGAGGAAATCATAGTAGAGTAGGGAGTAGAGCAAATCATGCAGCGATTGCGACAATGACAAAACACAATACAGTGAACTTTGATTTGTCAGTTGATATACAAGTTCAATAGAGAACAATTGAGTTAACCAAAAACTAACACACATTATATTATTGAAGAGAAAAGTAGGGTCCATAGACAAATATATTGAAAAAGTACAGACATGTCCAAGAAAATTTGCTCTAAGACTATATATCAAACTTCCAGCAGACCACATATATCTACTAGACTGCAAATACGTGCTTCGTGATCAAACTGATTTGAATATCACTTTTTGTTTCACAGTAATAGAGCACTATCATGTGACAATAATTGTACAATTTTCGTAAAAAGTCAGTCACGTTGTGAAAGCATCCGATCGCCATGTGAGCTTACACGGTGGTACAGGACGCAGTCATTGATAACTAGTCGTATGTGTCGTGGAATACCAGTGCGCATGTTACTGAAGAAAATTAAAACTAAAAGGGGTGAGATAACTGAACCTTGTGCAGCTCCTCGTAGTGCTTCGGTGTCTGTAGAGTGACTGTACCGATCACTGCGAACTGAGATACACCAACTGGGAAACGACGGATCCATGACGTGATTAGTGCATGGATGCATAAGCCATTTCTTTCGAGCATTAGACGTCGATGAGTGACGTGGTCGAAGGCTTTCTCGCTAAACTAAGCCTGTTTAAAGAGGATAAAACCAAGGTTTAAATGGACATCGGCAGGTGAATTCGAATAGCTGAGTTTCGCATGACCGTCCTCAGCGTACGTCATGCTAATTATGAAAAAAGAAGTTATGTTGAATATCAGAGGCAACATGAGAGTAGATAACGTCTTGAAGATGTTTGAAGGCGATTATTTTCCTTAAAAATAATATTTTATGATAAAAGGACTATGTTACGTACCAGCTCGAACCCCTTTTTTGTCCCATATTAGAGTGCTCTTACTTACTCTGGTTCCCGGCCATGAGTAATCTAATTGATTGATTGATATGTGAGCTTGAACATCCCAAAACCACTATAAGATTATGAGAGAAGCAGTATCGGAGGGCTCCAGAAACTTCGACTGTCTGGGGTTCGTTAGCATGCACGCGAGTATCAACTCACGGGCCTACAGTATTTTCGCCCCCATCAAAAATGCAGCCGCTGGGGTCGGGTTTCGATCCCGCTATCTGCGGGTCACCTGCCGAGTACCTTATCCACTAGAGCACCGCGGCAGGGCAGGAATAAACTAATTGAAAAAATAACAGCATATCCACGATGGGAATTATAATTTGTGGGGCGAAGCACTGGAGGGTTTAATCGCTAAACCGTGAAACACCCGCAAATATCGCCCACTACATCATCATAGACGTGAAAAACACGGTATATAGTTATACAAAAAATGTCAATATTTGTATAGCGGTAGCTATTTGAGAAGCACGCACTGTTGGGCGAGTTGGTAAATTATCCTAACTGAGTTGCGCGAAAAAAATTGAAGTACGAAAGAAAGGCATCTGGACAAAGCGCAGTGCACTTTGTCAAGATGTCATCCTTTTGTACTTCATTTTTTTTAGCGCAGCTCAGTTGAGATTAACTACCAACTCGCCCAGCCGTCCATGCTTCTCATGTATATTACTGGTTAGTTCGGCTCTTTTCTATGTGCTAACTTGTGTACTGTGTCCAGATGTCTTGCTTTTGTGCTTCAGTTTTTTCGCGCAACTCTGTTTAGGTTGTAGCTATACGTCTCGTCCAGTTCCCCCTTCATTATAATGGCTTTATGGTTGGTGAAGTGGTGGATCGGTGATGGGGCGTAGTGAGATGTTCGCAAGGACAAAATAGTGGGCAGTTGGCAAAGGTGGAACTATAGACGGTCACGTAGAAACAATGGATGGGCATGGTGGGACAATCTACAGTTGTTTAATGCGCACCTGGATATGACCATCCTGCATTTCATATTGGTTACTTTTTAACAGTACTTGCTTTATGGTCGGTGAAGTGGTGTATTGGTGATGGGGCGTAGTGGGATGTTTGCAAGGACGAAGTAGTGGGCAGTTGGCAAAAATGCAACTATAGGTGGTCTCGTACATACTTACAAGGGATAAACGAACTCACGCCTTTAGGAGCTCTGCCCCTAAAAACTAGCAGGTGTTTACCTACAACAAATAGTTTCCTTCATTCATCCTTTGAACCAATTGCATGAGCTGGGCCACTATCATTAAGAAATTGCGCTAAACTTGCACGCCTAAAAATGGTCGTCTAATTGATTTACACGCATAACAACATCGTATATCTATTCAAGAAACCAGACAGTCACGCCAAAAACATACAGTACTATTACGGGAATACCATTTCAACACCAACTGCTTCAAGCAATCTCTTTTTCCCACAGTCAATTAGATAACTGAATAGATTACCGGTCTTTATATCTAACAATGAAGACTTCAATGCACTTTTAACTTTACTGCTAGACATGTTCATGCCAACTATACTTTAATTGATGTTGGTTTTGTGCTTTTTATTCTAAAATTTACAATTCTTGAGTGTTTTTTTTTGAGTATCAATTTGTCAGTGCAATATGTAGCCAAACTCTTTTCATTTTTCTTAGCGACACTTCTTTCGTCTCGATATGGACACATCTACTATGTAGCGTTTTTGTGCACTAAATTAAATGAGATTTGCCACATAGCTTATCTTCCCTGCACTGCATTCTAGCTTCTACTAGTCCACTTTTTTCTGGGCTTCAAGATTGTCATCATGCCATCTCCTACATTTTTTTATCCGTGGTTTTAATGCTAGCTTCGCCGATAGCGTCTCCCCAAGCCTCATATAGAAGTCAGACATTCTAAAACCCTTGCTTCCTTGTATACGGTACCGTACTGTGGGACACTTGCAGTGTGACCTCATTATGGACTTCGGCTACACCTGCGAGACATTCAAGACCACCACGGAGGACGGATACGTCCTGGAAGCGGACAGGGTCGGTAAAAAGAAGGGATTATTGGGAAGATCGCTGTTGACTCCCAAACATAGTCCCATCATACTGGTGCCGGGAATACTGTCCGAATCTGGCACGTGGTTCGTCAACTTTCCGTCACAGAGCCCGGGTAAGTGTTTCTGTGATGAATTAGACTGTCAAACTGCTAGCCGTAAAGGACAATCAGCGCAACGTTAAAATAACCAGCTCTGGTCCCTGAAAAGAGCGAGTCTTTAAAAACAATTGTTGGGGTTTAAAGTCCAAGTTGTTATCTTACAAGCTAAAAACCTCTGATGGCAGTGAAGATAAGACTAAAGTCAGTGTGGGCAGAACACGCGCGGGCTCCGTGCCATCGTGCACGTAAAGTTGGCTTTGCTGCGGGAATTTGAACATTTAACGTCACTTTGCGCCACGTGACAGCACTGGGCGAATAGCGGCGCGAGTGGTGGAAAGAAAAACGTATGCGCAACTCTGCTACCTAAAGGTAGCCCACACAGTATATCTAGCCCTGATTACCACTCGTAAAACCAGCTGTGCAGTTTTTGGAGGGAAAACTGCAATACCCGGGCAGACAGCAACGCTTCCAGAGAGCCCGGCCCATTTGCTGTTAGTATATATATATTCAAGCATTGGTGGACACCGTGGCTGCTGTTATTGCGATAGCATATATATGGACACTCTCGGCTGGATTTTGCCGCTGGCGTCGACGTCATGTACTGTATTTGTATACGTATCTATATATATGAAAACGCAAGAAAAAATGCAGAAAAGAGCACTACGGCGCGCGGAATTGAACGCGGGGCCTCTGCGTCACAAAAGCGAGGCGTTAACCGCTGAGCCACCCGAAGAACGTTGTTTGCCGTTCAAACGGCAAGCTATTTATGTCTACCACTTACCGCTGCTGTGTTTTCAGGCATTACCAGAAAGGTGGTGCAATGAGTGCACGTCGCCACATCGCGCAGCGATGCCCGCTCTAATCTCCTACGCGTACTTTGCCCGGCTTATAGAAGGGGAGTGACGCTCCCTCGCGCGTCGCTATCTCACGGTGGCGAGGAAAGAAGGATCGTATGCCTTGGCTGGCCTCGGGCTTTACGTGGAACGATTCTGCTGTAGTCACCGGGTGCACAAAGGTCACTGCAATCATCTTAGTCTCCGTTCGCGAAAAGCGCGCGGTTTTCAGACTCAGGGAAGTAACAAATGAGACACTTATTCACGTGTATCCCAACCTATGAGTACGTTTCGTGCGTAATTGGTGCGCGAGAAACGCGGGGCACGTTTTGATCTGCTTTCAATTCTGCGCTCGACATTTCAAATTGTTGCTATCGCGTCCATTGCATCGCCTTTGCGGCAAAGCTGTGACTTTTGCTGCTATTCACCAAAATGGCGTCTCTAATAATCATATGGTAATTAGTGGACGTTAAACCCCACATATCAACCAATATTTCTGCTATTCATGTGAATCTGTGTTGTCGTCTGCGTAATGTTACTCAACTTAATAAAATATTTGTGGCACAACTGATACTAGCAAGGAAAAAGGAGTCATGACATGGCACCCTATCCTGTCTCCTTTGTTTCCTGTTTGGTATCAGTTGCACCAGAAATACTTTATTAAGCTATGCGCCAACTCGCACAACGTCACACTTTACTACACCTTGTAATGGCCCTGGCTTACGTAGTGAAAATGACTTAACGATCCAGCCATCAGCAATGTGCACCGTTAGATATACCATTGATGAAATCCGGCACCATATTCAGTTCGTCGTGCTGACTTCTTGCGCGTATAAGCTTATCTTGGGATGGGACTTCTTTTAACAGCGAAATCTGTTATGAGATCAAAACTAGGATTACGCACGGCGCCGTAATTGTCCGCCGCCGCTGCCGCCGGTATCCGTAACCACACCGCACGAAATTAAAAAAAAGCTAGTACCAATGACACAGTAGGGCTTGAACCCAGGTCCGCTGGGTGGCAGCCCAGCATTCCACCGATGAGTCACATCAGTGCTTGGGACCTGGAGGCTTGGTGTCGGGAAAGCAATCGCGTTAACACGACTTATAAAGCGTTTTAAAACAGTTGAAAAAGCAACCAGTCGTTGTACAATGCGACTAGCATAACGATTGGGTCGTCCAGTGCTCCAACTCATTGCAAAAGCTTCTTCTTGTTTACCTGTGTTTAACTGTGGCGCATACATACTTCAGCCATATTTCCTCATCGTCGTCAGCCACTCCATGGTCAATTGGCACAAAATTTCTCGCAAGTGCTTAGCGGATACCAAGCTTCTCGGAATAATGGCGAAAAATAGCGAAGATAATGGCAGCCTACTACGCAAAATTTTGTATTATTAATGCCATAGTGGGTATCAAGTAAGAGTGCTTGCAGCAGTTACCCAATGAGTGTTAAGAAAAGGCTCTGAAAGGCCGCTCTTTTAGCTTTCGCTGGGGCTTGCTACGCCTTCCGCGCAGGCCGGGCGTTTCTTTTCCCCCCTAATGTTGCCGCTTCCATCTGTTGTCGCCAACACCTCATATACATATCCAAGAAACTGAGGTCACTGATGCTGAATATTCGTCACGCCATCGTCTACGAGCCACCAAAGACTTCGTAGAGCCCCCTGGTTATGAGCAAGTTTTCACGGTAGCCCCAGACTTCGTAGACTTCAGTGATGTTCTTGTCGCTCCATCAGCCCGTTCCATATCTCAAGGCATTGCACTAGAAAGAGTCTTGTTCGTTTCACCAATGGCATCACCTTCCTCGTTGTACTCACTGTCACAAAGTAGCCCATTTTGCTCCCTAAATGCACTGTTGTAGTTCCCGGCCCGGACACACGACCTGTCTCCATGGTGGCTGTGAATACCAGTACTGTATAACAACGCTCACCCACAAATTCTACCCCTGCTACGGCTATTGCCAACGCAGTAAGCAAGGACCTGACTCTGCCCCAAGTAGAGGTTATACTTGCGTTGTTGTCCAAGCATCAATCTTGCTTCGACATTCATTCTCCTATTTTAGGAGAGAATTCAGCGGCAGCTCATCGCATACACACCAACGGAGCTCATATTGTCTGCCACCGACCATATTTATTTATTCAGAATACTGTCAATCCCATGATGAGATTATTACAGGAGTGGTGTCATATTGTTCATTGTAAAAACAAGCAATACACAGACTAAAAATACATGTTGCAAGCACTAGAAATTTAAAGCAAATATCTCAAACATATATAGTGCAAAATTCGCCGTAGTGATAGGCAAAGAGTCTTTATGAATATAAACATCAGATGAATTGCTGGGGCAAGCAAAAAAAGATACTAAACGTAATTGTACAAAGTTAAAACATCAGATGAATTGCTGGGGCAAGCAAAAAAACAAATACAAAGCGTAATTGTACAGACAGAGTTAAACTTGCGTTATCATCGATTCAGGAATTAACGGATAAATAAAAGTCAGCACACATTCACTCGCTCGAATTAACAAATTCATCAACCGTCGGCTGTGTCAACACGGTGGGGTGCCGGGCATTCCAAGCGCGTATGGCTCGCGGAAAAAAAGAGCGGCCAAAAACAATGTTCTTGAAGGGATACTCATCAAGTGTGTGACAATGTTTATTTCGTGTTTGGCGCTTACTGTTAACCTTAACATAATTAGCCGGATTTATTTTCAAAGAGTTGTGTAGCAGCCAGATACAAAAATATCAGACTGCCCCGCCATGGTGGTCTAGTGGCTAAGGTACTCGGCTGCTGACTCGCAGGTCACGGGTTCAAATCCCGGCTGTGGCGGCTGTATTTCTGATGGAGGCGGAAATGTTGTAGGCCCGTGTGCTCAGATTTGGGTGTACGGTAAAGAACCCCAGGTGGTCAAAATTTCCGGAGCCCTCCACTACGGCGTCTCTCATAATCATATGGTGGTTTCAGGACGTTAAACCCCACATATCAAAAATCTCAGACTACGGAGCTTGGTGCGGCTCGCCAGGGTGGGCAGATCCGCTCTGATCAAAAGAGCAGTAGATGAGTCGGTACGTCTATAACGGTTTGGATAAAACGGACTGCTTAGTGTTGTATTCTTTCAAGCGCGGCTACATGTTTGTTTGTGAAGGGGAACCAGGCCACACTCGCATATTCGAGGATTGGGCGGATAAGCACGGTATACGCTAAAAGTTTTGTTTGGGGTGTCAAATGACGAAGGGTTCGCTGAAGAAAAAATAAACTGCTGAGTGCCTTCTTTGTAATATGTTCGACATGCGCAGTCCAATTTAGTCGGACGATATCAAGATGCCTAGATATTTGCAGGCAGCGACGTTGCGAAGTAGGACATTTCCCAGGGAATACGAAAAATTTGGCGTTGTTTTTTTCTTTGTAATTGAGATGGCGACAGTTTTCTCAGTGTTTATTTCTATTTGCCACTCTCGACACCAGGTTTCGACCTTTTTTAGCGAATCATCTAGTTTTAAATGATCCTGGTAGCTATTGTAGGCTTATGCCACAGGAGCGAAAGAGAGACACGCCTGAACAATAACCGATGCCAGCCCGGAACGTGAGCCGTGGCTTCACGTGCCACGGCCTAGCGCCTTCTTTATTTTCTTCTGTCGCCATCGCGCGCTTTCCGGTTTGCGCGCCGCCCGAACGAGGGCGCTACAGGGCCCCCCGTGTAGACTGGAAGTCGGAATGTGACATGCCGATTGTGGTATTCCAACGGAAGATCAGTCGTAGATGAGAGGCTTTCTAGGGCGGTCTCCAGGTACGCCGGCTTGAGTCGGTCCAAGCTGACTGTCTCTTCACGGCCGTTCTGAAGTAGAGTGGCAGTTTTGGGGGTGCGGTGAAGGACGCGGAATGGTCCGTCGTAGGCTGGTGTCAAAGGTGGTCTGACCGCGTCGTGGCGCACGAAAACATGTGTTGCAGTGGCCAGATCAGGGTGGGCGAATATGGTCTTGTGATCGGAAGGTCTGGGTGGAGTGGGCCGGAGGTCTTGAACGCAGTCGAGGAGGCGTTGTAGGAATTGCTGTGGCTGGTCTGGTAGCTTCGTTGACGTGAAGAAGTCTCCCGGAAGCCGTAGGGAAGTGCCATACACCAGCTCTGCTGTTGAGCACGGCAGGTCTTCCCGGATGACAGCTCGTAAACCTAAGAGCACCAGTGGCAAGGC